TCCTAGCAGTAAGTAGGGAGCCCCAGTTGTGGGTTACCAGGGCAACCATGGTGAGCTAATGGCCCACACCTGCCAGCGGTCAGCTGACAGGAAGGGGCAGGGCCTGGCTCACATATAAGTCCCAGGCCTGAGGCCTGGATGGGCAGGTCTTTGCTAGCCACCAAGGGGGAAGGAGCTCTCCCAAAGCAACCAAAGGGGAGATGCCTGTCCACAGGAACCACTTCTGTCATTGTTGAGGGATGGAGTATTCCCCGGCAGGGTGAATGATGTTATAGCCAGGCAGTTTGGATTTTATGTTATAGCCCAGGGGCTTGTGTTTTGTTTGCTGTTTGACCGGTGGCTTGTGTGAGGCTATTAGGGGATGGAGGAGGCCTCATAGGGGATCCACGGTAGAGTGGGGACCCTGGTGCCAGAGAGGGCACAGCATTTGGGGTGCACTGACCCGAGTGCCAGAGAGGGTGTAGAGCGAGAAGGGCTGCGGAGAGCCCGAGCGCCAGTGAGGGTGCAGTGTAAGACAGGGACTGCGGAGAGCCTGAGTGCCAGTGAGGGCGCAGTGTGAGACAGGGGCTGTGGAGAGCCTGAGTGCCAGTGAGGGCGCGATGCGAGACAGGGGCTGCAGAGGGCCCAGGGAGGACAAGGGGGCCAGATATAACAAGGCCCAGACCAAACAACGTCAGTACCATCAGCGAGGCTTGGGCTGTGGTGTAGGGGAGGAAAAGGAGCTGCAGATAACGCCCCCTGGCATCGGGGCAGGAAATGGGCAGCTTCCCACTTAATTACATCTATTAATCAATTAACACCAAGGCATGGCAGGTGAGAAGGTGGGTGGTTGGCCCATAACAGGTGTGCGGGGTCACCAGTAGATGGACCCCGAAGAGGTGCACCTGTTACAGGGAGACATGATAGGCATCTGTAAAATCAGGAAGGGTATGGACAAAGTGAATAGGGAACTGTTATTCACCCAGTCCCAGAATACTGGGTGTAGGGGGCACTTATTGAAATTAGCAGGAGACAGGATTAAAACTAGCAAGGGAACGTACTTTTTTTCCCCAGCACATAGTTCATTTGTAGTACTCATTATCACAGCAGGTTGTAGAAGCAGATAGCAGAGCAAGGTTCAAAACACTGGACTAGGCAAGTTCATGGGTGATAGATCTATTAATAGTTATTAAGCAGAGCAGTCGGGGATGCCTCCTTTGGAATCTCTAAACCAACAATGGTGGATGCGACGGAGGGTATGATAGGGGACAGATCACTCTAGACACTTCCTGTTCAGTGCTTTCTCTCTAAAGCATCCACTTCTGTCACCATTGGACACAAGATGGGCTAGTTCAGGGGTATCAAATATCCAGCTGGTGGGTCATATTTGGCATGTGGAGCCTTATAATCTTGCCTATGGTGCTACCTCTAGATTGGATCAGATTCTCAGGGGGCGTAGCATGCATCTGTGGTGGAAGGCTGGTTCCCAGGCTGGATCAGGCCCATGGACCCACCTCCACTGGTATATCTGTGTAGACAGTCTGACTGGAGTGGCAGCCATGTTGCATGCAGTGACTGCCTTGGCCAGACCCTGTCCCATGCAGTGTTCACTCTAAGACACTCGCTGCACATGGGGCCCACTCCCGCTGGTCCAGGACCCGAGCTGCCTGTGGTGTTCACAGACACTATGTGCAGTTGCGGGCCCCAGATTGACTGGAGCAGCCACCAGATCAGGTATTGAGTGGGAGGGGAGAGGGGAACAAAGGGGGTCCTTGGACCCAATCCAGCCTTTGGACTGGCCTCACCATGCATCCAGCCCACAGGGCCAGATGACTTTGACACCGCTGGACTAGATGAACCACTGGTATGGCTCACTATGGCACTTCTTATGTAGCAGAAGAAGGCTGAGTAAGAAACAACCTCTGGAAGTTAAAGCAGACAAAGTCAAAGGAAAATAAGTCACCATTTTTAAATAGAGCATATTTATAGTTATGGGCATGAGCTCCCAAGGGAAGTGGTGGTTTCTCCATCTCTTGAAGTCTTTGAAGTCAGGTCGGTGGTATTTTTGGAAGATGCTGTAGTGAAACAAAAGTTCTTAGGCTCAACACAGGGTTAACTGGATGAAATTCTCTGTCTTGCGTTATACAGGATGTCAGGTCTTAATAGTCCCTTCTGACCTTAAAGTGCATGAGTGTGAAGGCAGGGACTAGGCAGAGTCTTAGTCATCTTCACCCCCAACATTTCTGACCGAATACTGGCAGATGAATATTAAGCTACACATGGGCCTTGTGCAGTTCTAGTCCACAGGAATAGCCAGGGATAGGACAGCAAGCACGCTGCCCTTTGTTCAGAACAGGTCTTACAGGGTTACACATACAAAAGTGACCTACAGGTTATCTACATGTTAAAATGATCTTGGTGTGGACACTCAGAAAGACAGTACCTTTGTTTAGCTAAATCCACCTCCAAGGTGGCTTAAGGTAATCTGGAGAAGAGCTCTCTCATTTTGGAAGAAGAGCGTTCCCATGAGAAGATGTTCAGGAACAATCTTTCCAGAATACCTCTTTCTGAGTGGCGGTTTAGGAATAATACCTGCAAACAGCTCCTTTCTAATTCTGTTTGCAAGTCAGTGAAATTAGGATCTTAGTTGTTCTGAAGTCATTTTAGAAAGAAAGCCGCTTCATCTTTGAAATCACTCTGGTGCTTCTAAAAATATCGCCAGACATGCTCAGTTTAAATAAAATCTAAATCAGATTGGTTTGCAATACTGAGCCTAATTCACAGATTCATTCCAAGGAGGGGACCTCAGAAGATCATCAGGTCCAGTCCCAAATTTATGTGGTTTTCAGGAACCAATTATGTTGTAAGTCTGAGGACTGCCTGTACTGCAACACTGTGTATAGCTCTGGTGGCTGTATTTAAATGGTACATTGAAAAAATGGAGAGGGTACAGAACAGCCTCATGATTTAAGACTCAGACAAAGTGCCTTTTAGTGAGTCTTAGAGCTCAGTCTGTTTGGCTTATCAAAAGGTTACTGATATATTGGTTTATATGAAGGATTTAGCATCTTTCATAGGAATGTCCCGTCATCCATGCCAGTGTTTAATACTCTACCATGGTCTAATCGGGGCTAAGTGGTTGTGGGGCTAAAGCCTGCCTCACCGCACTGCCCCTCATCACTGCACCACACCTCTGCCTCTCCCCCTGCTGTACAGTGCCTGCCCCACACTGCACCCACATGGCCCCAGACTCACGCTTAGTTCCCCTGACAACACTACATTGCACTACCCTGCCCACTGGGGTGGATGCAGGCAGTGAAAGCCAGAGGAAGGAAGGGGAGCTTGGAGACTCCAGGGGAGCAGTGGCTGGGCAGGTGAGGGCAGTTGGGCGGGGGCTGCAACTTCACAGGTAACACTTTTCCTCTCTTGTACACAACTTTCTTTCAATTACACTGATTTTGTGAATGGCACACACACCTGGTGAAAAGCCAACACAGAAGTTGAGTGGATTCAATAGCTATGATGCAAGTGGGAGCTCCAGACAAAAGTAAGCAATGTCTCCTTGAAAAGCCCATTAGGGAAGATCAAGGTTTTGATTTTGCACTTTAATGAAACAGTCAATGGTTAAATAGGGCCCTGGGTTTAGGTAAAATCCAGAGAATAGAGAGGTAGCTAACAGGTTTCCCCATCATGTAAGGAAGGCAGGAATGAAGATTTTTAAATATATGATTCTCTAAGTGCTGTGCAACCCAAACCCTGCGCCAGTGTGCTAGTGTTTAATGTCCCTACCTTGCAGTCCATTAAGAGATTTTCTAAACTCATTCCAAGCACTCATGAAGTTATCCTGGCAGCACTGGTGTGATGCACAGAAGTGCTGTTATTGCCATTCTAGCAAGGGGAAGCTAGATCCAGAAAAATTAAGAGACTTCCATAAGTATGACTTCAGAAATGGAATTTTTCCTTTTCTCACATCTTCCAGTCTGAGCAAAAAGGAAAAGCTAGGAGACAGATCAGAAATAGTGAGAGTTGTTAAATTCAGTTGTTAAATTCACTTAAAAGTTAAATTAGTAACTATTGGTAAAATAGTAAAATAGTTCAATAAATAGTTAAATTCAGTTGTTAAATGTCACCTTCCATTTCTTAAAACATACAGGTAAGATTCTTAGAAGACTATTTAAACTGAACACGCCTGGTAATGTTTTTAGGAGCACCAGAGTGATTTCAAAGATGAAGCGGCTTTCTTTCTAAAATGACTTTAGAACAACCAAGATGGTAAATCTCTCTGACTTGCAAACAGAATTCGAAAGAGGCTGTTTGCAGGTATTGTTCCTAAACCTCTACTCAGCAAGAGGTATTCTGGAAAGATTATTCCTGAACATCTTCACATATAGTAATGCTTTTCTTCCAAAATGAGAGAGATCTTTTCCAGATTACCTTAAGCCACCTTGGAAGTGGATTTAGCTAAACAAAGGTACTCTCTTTCTGAGCATCCGCAGGCTAAGTTTAATCAGTGTAACTGATGGAAGGTTATGTACAAGGCAAAGTGTTACCTGTGAAGTGGGTGTTGCTCACCAGAAATATCCAACGAGGAGCCATTTTGCATTAACCTCTTTATTGGGTAAATTTCTTTGGAAATATTCTAATTCCAATTGCTTTCTTCAGAGCCATTTTGACTTCTTTGTTCCTCAAGCTGTAAATCATGGGGTTGAGCAGAGGGGTGAGAATGGTGTAAGTTACTGAGATCAGAGTGTCTTGATCTGATGAGTAGCTGGACTTGGGCCTCAGGTAGATGAAGGATGCGCAGCCGTAGTGCACAACCACTACAGTGAGGTGGGCCACACAGGTGGAGAAAGTCTTGCGCCGCCCAGTGGTCGATGGGATGTGCAGGATGGCGATAAGGATATAGATGTATGAAACCAGGATCAGCAGTAGTGGGAGCATGAGGGCAAAAATGCCCAGCAAGAAGATGATAACATCATTGAGGTGCATGTGGGTAAAAGCCAGCTTGAGGACTGGGGAGATGTCACAAAAGAAATGGTTGAGTTTGCTGGGGAGGCGAAAGGGGAGGCGAAATACGAGGGTGGTGACCACTTGAGCAACCAGGAAGCCACTGAAACAGCAAGCGGCTACCAGCTGAGCACATGCTTTCTTGCTCATGATAATTGCGTAGTGCAGAGGGTTGCATATGGCCACATAGCGGTCGTAACCCATGGCTGCCAGGAGGAATGAATGAGAACACCCCAGGAAAAGAAAGAAATACATCTGCACAGCACAACCAAGGAAGGAAATGGTTTTGTTTTCTGCTAGCAAGTCTACCAGCATTTTGGGGACAATGACAAAGGTGTAGCAGGTCTCAGAGAAGGACAAAACACAGAGGAAAATATACATGGGTGTATGGAGGGTGTGGTCAATTCTTATTATGGTCATTATAGTGGCATTTGTGGTCAGGGTGACCAGATATAGAAACAAAAACACCACAAAAAGCAGTTTCTGCAGCTCTGCAAGATTGGAGAATCCCACGAAGATGAAGCATGCCACCACAGTATGGCTATCATTTTTCATAGGAATTAAATGCTTTCCCTGAATGAAGAGCAAGAAGAACACATCAGAACCATTCAAGTACTGGGCAATATCCTTATGAGGACAGGACATTTGCTGACCTGTTCCTTAATAAAAACATGTTTCTGTAACCTCTATGTCTCCAGTGCTATTTTCCTCTGATGGACTACCCATGTGAGAGGGGCAGTACTGCTGAGTAGAGGGTCAGGAGGAGCAGTAGCAGCAGCAGTGGGGGAGGTGGGTAGTTTTTGGTGCCTGGATGCATCCCTTTGCAACATGGAAATGACACAGTTCTAATAAACAGTGGAAGAAATCAGACCCAAAAATGTAGGCATGCATGAAATTACCAAATGATACTTCCATGTACTCTTTGTGCCTGACCACAACCCTTTTCCTCAGGAGCTGGCACGCCATGAAGTAACACAGCTAGATTCTAGGACTTATCTTTGGTGGGGTTTTGTCTGTGTCTGGACTGCAAAGCCTGGTCCACTCCCTCTTTGTACTGTGAGGACATTATGACTAACATAACAACCCTCTCTACACTGCAGTCTGTGACAGTGCCCATATCCCAGAGCTTGGGTCTGACTGAAATTCTGAAGAACAAATACATTTTGCCCATGGCTCAGGTTAGACTTTACCAACATGGTTATACTGGTACTGCCTGTGCTACGGATGCAGTATTTCTGGTATATAGGTGCCTCATGCTGGAGCAGTTTGATTCATTCTTGCATAGGAATACACTGTTCTGGGCTAAGCATTGTTCTCCTGGGATAATTGCACTCAGGTCAGGGATTGTGCTCCATGATCCACATCCAAGCCAGAATAATGACAGTGGTACAAATATAGAGGCTGACAGGGAATAAAGTCACTTAGTAAAGCTGACAGTAAGGCAGGGCAGTTGGATAACTGATATGAAAAGTCAAGGGATGCTACTGTATCGCAGGATCCAACTTAGTCATGCGGGCAAATGAGATGGTTCTGGAAGCCTAGCACAGGAAGGAAGAGAAATCTGTGGAGCAGAGGCAAGGGAAATAAGAAAGAAACTGTACCTTGGTTCACTTAGAAGAAAATGCAGGTGCTTCAGAGCTGGCTTTTGACATTCACAGGGCATTGGCAGCAGGGAGTTCCCCCTCCTTTCTTATTATTACACTTCTGTAAGAATTAGCAGTGTCAGCTATTATCATCAATAATAGGAAATTGCAATGGGCATCATTTGGGTAGGTGGCAATTGCCAATTCCCATGCCCTAGGGCTGGTTGCAATGGGCATAATTAAAAGTTTAGTTCTTATAACTGTACTAAACTTAACAACCGCAAAATTAGTGCCATAGATGTAAAGACAAGACAGAATAAAAATTCATGACCAGCACCTGGGCACTGGTGAGATTGAGATTGAAGATGTGCATAAGATTCAAGGCCTCCCCTCATGGGAATGTGTCACTAGGAGGCTTGGGGAAGTTTTCTTGGCTGTTACTGTACAACCCTGACAAATTCTGCAGGGGAATGGCTGGGTCAGGCATTTTCCTCGAACAATAGGTCACATAGATTCATAGATTCATAGATGCCAGGGTCGGAAGGGACCTCAATAGATCATCGAGTCCGACCCCCTGCATAG